AGAACTGTTCTTCCTGTACTGAGATGTTCCAGGTAGGTTGAGGGTGTACAATAAGCCATCACCATTATCCTCAGCCTTTAATTGCTTCGACAAGGCTGCCCGATCTTACTGTTTCTCTTTAATTTTGACATCGATGCCATTGTGGGGATAGCTTTGGAGGACGTGCTTGGTGGTAGCGTGGATTTGCTGTCTGGAACAGTAACTTTTGATTATGAATATCCAGTCAATGTCGTCTTAACGTGTGATAACATACAGGTTACCCAAATCGTTCTTAATCAGTTTGTAGTTAGTGTCTGTTAGTATAGTACTTATTTTACTTTGTGTAACTGCAGTATTTTTGCAAGATTGGCAAGACCTTGTACCTGCGACCACTCTTTCAAATGAACCCTTAACACTAATCCATAAGTTTGTGTTTGTAGACACTTTTGTGTGATTGCTAGCGGAGTTGTTACACATGACATCTCTAACAGTACAGTAAAAACCAGGGTTGCATTACTTACTTACTTTACTTCGGCTATCTCCTACGGGAGGATGAGCCGGCTTCATGAACATCTCGAATCATCGCTGCCCAGGTGCAGTGATCTGATGCAAGGTTTTCGTTTGTAAGAGAGTTCATGAAGTTTCATGAGAATTTGGTACGAGTGATGTCCCCAGAATCGCTCGGCCTTTTGTTTGAGAGTGCAGCTCTAGCCTTTACACAACCAAGTGTGACCTACAAGGCAGTAGGAGTGGAGTAGGGAGTCCACTATCCATTGGCAGCCGGTGACCGGAGTTCGGTTCATACGCCTTTTTGAATGGGGCCAGACATCCAGGACAAGCCCTTTGTACATACGTCTGCCGGTTGCATTCACCAACCTTGGTCAGCTCTAACACCGTCGCGATATTAGTCTGGCAGATGGAAATTGATACGCCTTAGGATGAGACATACATGTGTTGTTCAAGTGTTGCTTTTGCATTTGTTGGTGCGTCACTACGTCTCTGCATGGAGTCCGAGAGATAACTCATATCAGTACCTTGTAGTTCTCTCAGATATATCTGAGAATAGTTATTACTGACAAGCACGCAAGGATTTCCGTCTTTCCTTTCTTTCTGAGTCTGACATGGGATAATAAACGCTGCTTTAAGCGCTCTCGATTGGTACGCTTACTTTGTTTGGTATAATCCTGTTTTCTCAATCATTCTCCTTTTTTTCCTCCACATATTGTGTTTAGTTACTTTTGGATAGCTCACCTCCTGCTTTCCTCCATACTGTTACTAAGTTTTTTGATTCATAACACATTTGTCAGCAAAAAGGGATCAATTTCTCATAACTTCACTTCAGTGTTGTACAGTTGCTTAGGGGGTTTATGTATATATACAAATTTAATGGACAAATGAGGTCAATGGTTACTGTCACTTAACATGAAAATAAATCAGAGTGTATTATATTATTATCCATTATTCCTATATTTTCCCAGTGGAACATAGGGCTTCAAGCTAGATACTTGGAGTTTCAGTAGCAGTGGTGTTTATTTTTATAGGATGCGGTTGCTAGCCTCATCCCCAACCTTCCCTCTTTACCAGTCTTATTGTTGGCTTAGAGAGGTAAAGGAGTGCGTCATTGGCCGGGGATCGAACCCCGGACCACCTGGGTGGTCGGCGAGCATTCTACCGCTGTGCCACCGACGCCACCAAAGTGTATGAGCGATAACAATATTATTTTGAAAAATTGTAATTTTACTTAATCAAGATAATTGACATTTAATTAGTTAAGTGATTCATAATCATTTGGAAATAGTTGATAAGGAACAAGAGAATAAGGGAGTGAAAATCGGTTGCAAAGCATACAATTAATTAAACGGGCTACACAGATTTTAATATGCAGCTATTCAGAAAACCAAAGGTGGAAAAAGAGATCATTACTGAAGCCATGGCATCTGGAGCTTTGGCAATCCCTAAGAAGAAACTGGAACTTCGTGTTCATAAGTGTTTTATCCTAGCATTCTTTACTACCATGGCCCTAGTGACTAGTCAAAGACAAGATCCCGCTGTTGGCAACTTCAGTGTGCTTTCGTCAATTCACTTACCCCTGTGGAGTTATAAGTACACAGGTCGTACTGGCAAAATAGTCGACAGCTATATTTTGGAGAGCGTTGCTATTTCTGGTCACGCAGTATCACTGGAGACTACATTCAGGGTGATAAGTAAAATACAATCAAGCTGTTCAAAGGGGTTTCGTCTACATCTTATTCATGCAACCGAAGCTTTAGCAATCAATCAATAATCTGAACTTTGTGTTCAGATAGGTGTTATTCAGCCTCTTTTCATACTGTAGGCTTAGTATCAACTCTAGTTTTCCTGAATTATTATTATTATTGTTACCTTGGGCTCTGAGTGGAACATAGGGCTTCAACAACACATCTCCACTTTCCTCTATTTTCTGCCATCCTCTTCAGCTGCGTCCACGATTGCCCAAACTCTCTCATCTCTTCTTCACATGATTACTTCCATGTCAACCTAAGGCGACCCACTCGTCACTTCCCATTTGGATTCCACTCTAGGGTCTGGCGCGACATGTCATTCGACGGCCTCCTCAATGTATGTCCGATTCATCTCCACTTTCTCCTATATATTTGTTGAGCGATCGACTCTTGGTTTGTTTGTTACCACAGTTTCTTGTTACTCATTCTTTCTGTCCAGCCATTTGATCTTCAGAATGGAGCCAGCGAAGGGTGCAGCTGTTGATAAAAGACTGCAGCGGCCTGTTGGAAATCCTTTTTGTGATACGCAGTGCACGTTTCTGACCCGTATAGAAGAACTGACTGACTTGACATTAATGTTGAAAATCCGAATCTTGTTCTTTACTCTGACTGAGTCAGTGCAGGAGATTTCCAAACTGGTTTCAGGTAGATGAAGGCGTGCGTATCTTGCCTTTCCGATTCTGGTTAGCTGGCTGGCTTTGACATCTTCATGCGTTCTGACTGCTTGTAGTTGAAACGATGCTTTCTGGCTGGATAAGTGAAGGAGGTAACCTCTGTTCACTCTCTCCCGTTGGTGGTGGTTGTTGCTGGTTGTTATTGTTGCTGTTTGTGCGTGGTTATCTTCATCACCTCCGACTTCTCTACGTTCACCTGGAGTCCTGTCTTCGCTGATGAAGCAGCGAAATTCTGGCTGTGAACAAACCAACCAAGAGCCGGTTGCTCAACATTTATATGGGAAGAAATGGAGATGGATTGGGCATACGTTGAAGAGACCGTCGAATGACATCACGCACCAGGCTCTCGAGTGGAATCCAAATGGGAGGCGATGAGTAGGTCGTCCTAGAGTGACATGGAGATCTTGTGGTGAGGAGGAGATGAGAGATTATGAGCAATCTTGGACCCAGCTGCAGAGGACAGCAGAAGATAGAACAAAGTGGAGATGTGTTGTTGAAGCCCAATGTTCCACTTGGAACTCAAGGGAATAAAAAGAAATAAAGTAATTCGGCTGCTTTTGTGGAGCCAGTTATATTGGCCATCGCTTTAAGAACTGAATTTTTCGTTCTTGAGAACACCTACCAGTGTGGTTAAATAAAGATATTGTCAAGACAGTTAACAGCTTTACATTGGACTACCTCATGCAAACAGACCACAAAGCTTGCGATGAAGAATCTCTATCTATCATCTGCCGTGTATCAAATTTATTACTGAAGACCTCTAGATACTGAACACTCCATACAGCAGAGGTCATTACAGTTCGCTTAAATCAACCGGAGCTATGCATACCCAAGAAGCCTGTCTAGCCAGCCACTATCGCTACCCTCGGCTGCTGTCGAGCCTAAAAATTCATAAATTCTGTGTCACTTTCCTTAATTTATCTGATATTCAGTCAGGTTAGTTTTTCAAGTGTTGGTTTGTAGGGATTTGATTGGTTTCAGGATTTCATTATGAGCTGACATTAGTTAGGGAACCATTGGAAAACCTGGGAGTACTGACAACTGTTTCGTCCTAGTTTGGGACTCTTCATCAGCACGCACCCACCGGGATTCGAACCCAGGACCTTCTAGTTACAAGGCGTGCTCGTATACCATTAAGCCACTGGGACCCGATCCAATGGCCAGCCCATGAATTCTAACTTCTGCCAATTCACGACATAGCGCGACCCCTAGCCAATGTCTTCGGCGAGTGTTTGTCCTCACAGCCGACCTGCTGCACCCTAATGGTCACGACTTCTCACTAGAACCCCAGGTAACTACCCACCTGAATAGGGCAAGTCGCTAGTGAGCATCTCATTGATTTTCAAGTGTTGGTTTGTAGGGATTTGATTGGTTTCAGGATTTCATCATGAGCTGACATTAGTCAGGTTAGTGTTGGTATATTAGTGCATGTTATCTCTCTCTCTCTCCTACTGATGTTTCTGAACTGTGCTTACATGTTGATACTGTTGCATGGATATAATTTAAAACGACATTGATATTGGTAATAAGAAAATTTCTTTAATTATTACTGTCTTGTAAATATAGAACCTAATGAAGGAAAAATTATTAAGGGGAATACTCTTTTTGTTCATTTATAATCTTTCTAAATTTGTATTGGTCATCGTCAATGAATTGACTGTTATCCCCCAATATTTTCAGATTAAATCAAGTAGGTTGTCCTTATTAGATTATTTTCTAAACAATGGAAAATTACACTTAAGTACTTTTATATCTGCTTAAAAATCGTTACATAATAAGGAAAGTATTGACCTTTTAAAGTGATTCTTTGCTTTTAGTTGTATGGTTATATTTTCACACTTAGAAAACAAAAAGTCAAGGTCATCTGAGTGTTTATACACATGGAAATCGTATCCAAGTGAATTTTAATTATAAAAGTTCTCTTCTCTATCTCTCTCTCTCCTTCCTTTAATTTTTCTGCTCTCCAAAAAAATCTGTCGATTATGTGAAGAAATGTAAAGTTCATATATTTATAGGAGTAAACAAATCAATCATCGTTTTTCTTTTTCTCTTCTCTTTTTTTAAAAAAAAATCAATATATACATAGAAATGAATGAAGAAGATTTAGATCCAGTCGACCTACAACCTTTTCCACTGCTTCGTTCATGTTTCGAAGAAATTGATTCTGATCTCGGCTTCGTTATTGAAGTTAAATATCCAATGGAGCTAAAAGTAGGTGTTGGTTTTTTTGTTTCTGTAGAAAAAGAAAATCCCCTTTTTAAAATTTTTGTTTGCTGGAAAAATCATTTCTAAAATCAATATTTTATCTGGTCATATTTCTCATGAGCTGTGGTCTCCCTACCTTTCCTTTTCTTTTCTTTTTCCATTTTGGTGTCAGTTTCTTCGAGGGAGTTTTCTTCCAATGACTTTCTCGCTAATGAAAAAAGCTGAATAACTAATTAATTGATTTCTCTTTAGAAATTTAAAACAATTAGTTCCCTTTATGAATTTAGACAAAGCAGTATATAAGAAGACGTAATTGTTTTTGAATGCATAAAGGTGGTTCAGACTTCCTCATTGCCATCTAGTGCTTCCACAAACTTTAGGACACGCCGCAAAAACTTTTTATAGATAGGTTTAAAAGACGTGTACACATGAATTTTACGTCCTGTCTCTATAATATGTTTCGCAATAGAGGAGCTAGGTCTCCTAGTCTCATCATTGATGAGTTTGCTTCATCGATCTCTCCAAGTAAAGGCTGACTTCTGACCATATTCTGAAATGGCTGTAGAAGCAAATAGAATTCCCAGAACCCATTAATGGTGAGAACAGGAAACGCAGCTCCTATACTGCGAAAAATATCATGGAGACAGGACATAAAATTGCTGTGTAAACGGTTTTCAAACCTATCTATAAAATACGTTTGCGGCGTATCCTAAAGTTTGTGGAAGCTCTAGCTGGCAGTGAGGAAGTGTGAACCACCTTTGTGCGTTCAAAAACTATTCGCCATCACATTAAAGCAACCTTCGTAGACTGTTTTGATACTATAGTAAATGTACCACTGAAATGGTAGGAGATGTATACTTGGTAGATGAATGTCTACTGGGTAATTGGTATGTCTGTATAGCCAATTTATGTATACCTTATCTTCAACGCACCATTTGGACAGATCTTCGTTCTGTGGTACATCTGTACTTCATGTTGTATTTCTTTGTGTTCCTTTCACGGCTCTCATATATCTCCACAACGCTGTAGCATTTGCCTTCTTCGAAATCGAATGTATTTCCCTCGTATTGGATGTTTTATGCTGATGAACGTCTATGTATATTCTACTGGTAAATGTTATCAGTAGCTCTCACCACACTATCACCTCTCTTATTTGGTTCAGTGATCTTCATTGTTATTTGTGACCTTCTATATATGCCCTTTTAACTTGAACTAAATTTATTATCTCACCACTGAACTCTGTACTAATTTCATATAGATTCCGTGTGTAATCAGATTGTTTGAAATGTGTTGCGCAAATACTACATTACACGCTTCAGACAGATTACGTCTTCTTATTTATCGCTTTGTCTAACTAACTTCTATTTATTGTATTCCCCAAAGTGTGTATCTCTGCTAGAAAAAAACAGTTAACAGGTTTTCTGCGCTGCTGCACAGTGTTGTTTAACCACCATCAACAACAGTAGTGTTGTCGAGTGATTCAATGCAAAGTCACAAAGAAGGAATGAAGAAATAGCTTCTGTAGATACTAGTCTTTTGAACCAATTAATTAATTAATTAATTAATTGGTAGTAAATCCAATTAGTCAGCAACGGAAATGTGTTCAAAACAGAAAGTGTAATTGATAGTAGAATAAATAATTAAATATCTGACAGTCAAAATATCTATCTACAATTCACCATGACTGTTTAATTCGCCAATATCCTTGTAGACGTAAAAACTTGTGGCCAACTGTTAGTTAGTGTTGGCACCGAAAAAAAACCCTGCTATGTCAGTACGCATTTGTTAAAAGAAACTACGTTAATATGGTTGTTTAGCTGGGATAGGTTTGGAAGTGGATGAAATACAGAAAAAAATAACGGATATCAAAAAAACGCACTAATATATATTAAGCGGTTAAAAGTGAGTGAAGTTCATTCAGTTCAGTTCTGCTTCGTTTAATGTAGCATATCGCATTTGCAAAACTGAAAAAAATATGACCAGACAACCTTGACCAATGAATGAAACATATTCACATAATTTATTCAGAACAAAAATAGTTAGAGGGAACAATTGTTTTCAATAACTTCCTCCTCACCCTCTACAATTATAAATCCATTAATTTAATTTAAGCATACAACAGCCAGCCAGTAAAGGCAAATTACAATTGTATCAGAAAACGTGTTGTGGAAAAAGTCTAAGATGGAATGGAATAAGAGAGAGTCAGTTTAATTTTGAATATGCACGGTCAATGAGAACATGAGATGAAATAAGATGAAATAATTTAATCATGTATATGTACATAGTCGACAAAAGTGCAGGTTTCGAGAGTGAGTGTAATCAGTGGTGTGTTAGACAATATGAATACTACAGAAAATAAACGAAGGCATCGGGTGGACTAGCTAGATATAAATAAGTTCAAGGTTGAAAATAACGACACAAATAATGGTGATTGTACAATAATAACGATGATGTGGTGTCAACTTAAAAGTACTATTGGTGAATGACTGACTGACTGTCAAATAATAATAGTAATAATAATAACAATCCGTGATCAACTCGTAAAAACATAACTAACCCTTACAAACCAAACTATAGAAAATTAATGTGATGCTCGCTAGTGAACCGCTACAGGATGGAGTTTCCTGGAGTCAGTTGTAGTGAGAAGTCGTGACCAGTGAGGTCCAATTAGATTTCACGTGTGTGGATGGATGTCCCACCAACGACAATGGTTGGGGTCGCACTAAATCACGAATTGGTAGAAGTTAGAATTCATGGGTTGGCCATTGAATCTGGTCCCAGTGGCTGAATGGTACACGAGCTTGCCTTGTAACTGGAAGGTCCTGGGTTGGAATCCCAGTGGGTGCGTACTGACGATGATTCCTAAACTAGGACGAAACAGCAGCTGTCCAGTACTCCTTGCTGGTTTTCAATGGTTCTCTAACTGATATCAATCCGTGATCAACTCGTAAAAACATAACTAACCCCTACAAATCAAACTATAGAAAATTCATAAATTATGCTTTCTGAAGCCAAATAATTGTAATATGAGGATGCAAGTAGTGGCTTGCATGAAACTGATTAATATATAAATATGATACGAGGAGAAGATAAAAAACATATAGTTAAAAATAAAAAAATATACCAATTGGAGGTTGATTTTAATTTATTTCAATTAAAAACAGGAATAATGATAATCTAAACAGTGTATTTCGTGTATACCGCATAAATTAACACTGAAACTGTACCAGTGTTACAGATAAAAAAAACATCATAACTAAATTTTCACATGAAATTCTAGCTTCCTCTGTTGTAATTTAATCGCGTTTCACACGAATATAAGAAATTTACAGCCAAGTTAAACAGTAGGAATGACTGTGACCAGATAGTCTAAACAATCCTTTGAAAAAAGTATTCTACACAAATTAAAATCAATGAGTGAGAAACTTATACAACAGTGAGACTTTGTTATTAGTTTACACAAGGCTTTAAAGATCATTCAAACATCAGTAGTATGTGCATCTTGTGAAGATTCCCTCGAGAATAATCATTGATTGAAATGTTGAAGCGGAGCTACGATTTCCTATTCTAGTGGTACTAGAAAATCCAATGAGATAACACTATATACATGTAGATGTATATATGTGCTAGTCAATAAGAATTACTAGTCTGTAAGTTGTAGGAGGGGTGGAAGTAATTAGGGGATTCAAGATCAGTTAACTGTTTACCTTGGCTTGCAATGAGGTCAACAAATCCTCCACAAACATTGGCAGCTTGAATTCCTAGCATAATCTTCTCTGCCTTTTTTCTATTCATTTGTTTCATTGACAATCGACTTCATGTCCTTTCTTATGATTTCTGTCACCTTAGGTTTAAGTAATGCTTTTCTGACTTCTTACTTATCATATTTACAAAATCCTATTCACTTCATTTCACTAAATTCATTATTATTATTATTTGACAGTCAGTCATTCACCAATAGTACTTTTAAGTTGACACCACATCATCGTTATTATTGTACAATCATCATTATTATTGTCGTTATTTTCAACCTTGAACTTATTTATATCTAGCTAGTCCACCCGATGCCTTCGTTTATTTTCTGTAGTATTCATATTGTCCAACACACCACTGATTACACTCACTCTCGAAACCTGTACTTTTGTCGACTATGTACATATACATGATTAAATTATTTCATCTTATTTCACCTCATGTTCTCATTGACCATGCATATTCAAAATTAAACTGACTCTCTCTTATTCCATTCCATCTTAGACTTTTTCCACAACACGTTTTCTGATACAATTGTAATTTGCCTTTACTGGCTGACTGTTGTATGCTTAAATTAAATTAATGGATTTATAATTGTAGAGCGTGAAGAAGAGTTTGTTGAAGGCAATTGGTCACTTTAATTATTTTTCCTGTGAATGAAAAATTCACTATAAAAAGTATGTATATAGTGTGTTCAGCTTTTTTCTTCCGGTCTAATTATTGTGATTAAGTAAACAGTGTGAAAATAATGATTAAAAATTAAAAAAAAACTGACTTCTTGGGACTAGACATTAACCACTAGAGAGACACAACAACAAAAATCCAAACTTGAACAAGTATTCTCTGGTTTTCTCAAAGTGATCACGCTTGTTACTTGTGTAATAAAAGAATGCAATTCAAACGGTGTTTTGATTCCTGATATATGTGTTTTTTTTATCTCTGCCTACCAATTTATTTATTTATTAATTTTTTCTAGGGAAGAACATTACTGCACAGTGGTTAGACTGTAAAGTAAACAGCATTTATTATGTATTTCTCGATATAGCTGGGAATCATGGTGTGTTTTGTTTTTTTAATAAGTTGTACAGGAAATTCCCAATTTAATGCTACAGTTCTTGTTGAGAATCTCTCAGAAAACCTCGTAATAGCACGCTGCTATTGATATAATAAATGATAATTGATCATGGAATGGGAATTCAGGTGGTAACAAACCAACCGTCTCTGGACAGTAGGTTTCAGCTAATAATTGGTGTAATACTGAGTTGGAATCTGGAAGCCCATGATTGAAATCCTTTGGTAACGCCAGTTTTCAGTCCCACTTTAAATGTGATCAATCATTACGTCATTAGTAGATTTCTAATATGTAAAGTTACCATTGATACATGAATAGAACGTCGGATAGTTTCTCTAAGAATACACAACATGCTTCCCTTCCAGTTTAGGCAGTACTGTTGGTAGTATCCAGTACATAATGTGTATTTGTGTGTCTCTTGCATCCTGCATGTACACACTTATTATTGGCGCCGAGACTAGGAGAGAAGCACCAAAGATAATTTTGACCTGAATATGATTCCGAATTAGTAACCATCTATGACAATGTTTACTTATATGTTTAACTAAATAGTGAGAGATAGATTTAAAAAATAAATCTTTTTTAATTCATTCTCGTATCCTTGCCCTACGTACTTCATTTCTGTCCTATTGGTAAGCAAGGGAGACTTTCATTACTCTAAAATCAGTTTGGAAATTTCCTGCATTCAGCATAAAGAACAAAATTCGAATTTTTCAACACCTATGATTCAGAGACTTGGCGCGCATCACGCATGGCATTCCTTAAGGTTTACTTCAGATCTTCATGAACATTAGCCTTCGCTTTCCAGAAACTGAAAATCAGATGACCAGAAAGGATAAACAACAAGGAAATCTGGGATCAAACCAACCAACAAATATTCCGAATGAAATCGAGATGGACACACATTGGGCAGACAACTGGGTAACATCACGCTCCAGGTCCTCCAATGGTTGAGAACACATGGGAAATAACGAGATAGGCGTCCAAGGATTATATAGAGTAGTTTGTGAGAGGAAAAAAATGCGAGCTTTTGGGTAATCGGGGAACCGCCTCAATAGGACTGCAGAAAACAGGATAAAATGGAGTTGTGTTGCTGAAACTCTGTATCTCACTCGAAACCCAAAGGAATTATAATATTGTAAGGTGTTGTCAACAGTGACAATTTATGCATAGGTAATCGCCTAGTGTATTATTATTTCACTTCAGCAAGCTGAGTTCTAAAGAATTGCCTACCTATGCTTCACTGGTGTGTGGATACTAGGTAGTTAGTCGTCTTATCCCACGCATTGCTATAAATTTATCCATTAGGTGTGTATATTAGTGACTACTAATTCGAGTGATACGACACTGATATAAGTTATGTACTGCACTACTTTTTCTTTTGTATACGTTATTCTCGTATTTTTTCTGTACAGGAGGGTGGTTCAGAAATGGATCATTTCTTTGAATATAACTTTTATGTGGATACTATCCTACGTGAAATTCTAACCTATGCCGGCAGCAGACGTATTCTGTTATCATGCTTTGATCCGAATGTATCTGTGATGTGAGTTATGCATCTTAATATATGCATAGTGGTAATATAAATTAACAGTGAATAACTTTTATATATATATATATATATATATATGCAGATTTTGTGGACGTTTGTAAAACAGGCATTTCACTAGGGAACTTTTCTTATGGATGGCAACAAAACTGCTGAAGTGAAAATACTGTCCACACCATGTCTACTTGTGAAATATTGATCTCTTAATGGTTCCGTCGTCACACCCAGTTGTATCCAAGGCATCCAATTTGTTATTTAACTCAAATTTTGGAATTAACGCATTAAATCATTGAAAATATTTAAAACATCTTTTCTAAGACAATTTTCTTTTCTGTCAAGTCATTAACTAGGCTGTACATGCTTGCATATATAGCAAATGGGTGAGAATGTTCCTCACCTGTTCCGGTCAATAGGTAAATTAATGAAATTACAAAATAGGGAGTCAAATATGTAATAATTACCAGCAAGATGGGATAGAAATATTGTAGGGTCACTGTTACTGAGAAAATTGACTTTTTGTGCGATTGGGGATTAAAAAAATGTATGTATGTGATTCGGTAACAGATCATCCGGTGAACTCAGGACATCCGGCTCCATTTGAGAATTCCTTCAAACTCATATACAGGTTCCGATCAAATCTCTTAAAGGAAGTGAAGTCAAGGCATCTAAGCGTATCTGAGGCACTAGTGATCCAAAAGTTCAAGGCCACGCTATGTATCCAAAAGTAATACGTTTACAATTTAATCCCTATATGCAATTCCATTAATATGACTTTTAACCGGAAGTAGTTCTAGAAAATGCTCACCCATTTACTATAAACAGTTGACGACTTTATCGAAAAGAAAATTGTCTTAGCTCTGCAACCGTCTGTTTTTCTTAATTCGGATTCTGAAATCACTCGAATATATGGATGTATATGCTTAAATAAAGTTGTCTTCAATAAAGGAATATATCTTCCACATAATATATACAATGCATTAAGTTTGCCAGCATGAATTTCGTCTGTTTCTCGAACTTTGACATAAATACGCCTGCTAACGACAGGGGCTAGAAGGGCTTTCTAACTCAACATCATCAATGTGTATGTTTTTTCTTGCAAATCGAATGTGGCCTTCGGTTATGTTATGTTATAAAATAGTCCATGAAATGTATAAATCTCAAAGTGGGTGTAAAAATAATAGGAGTTACAGGCGATTAAAACATCACGCAACCAGATGATAATTATGATGAATCAACATTGCAGGGAATTCTATTGAATAGAATAAATTAAGGTGACGAGGGAGATAATACCGGAAATTGTTAAAAGTGAAATTAATATTAACAATCGACATAATAAGAGAAGGCTCGCAAATTGAATAAACAAAACGAAATAAATAAATAGTATCAACGCATGAATGGGGATTACCATAATTCAGCTTATAGACGGATTATGACGACTATGAAAGATGCAGTGGTTGAAGAAACATTTTCTATTTCAACGGTTAAAGCCTCATCACTACACATGAGTTGGATAGGTAATGATTTGTGCAAGTCAGTTTTCGCCTTATAGACAACTTTTAAGGACTAGGCTATAAAAATAATATCGACTACTTGTTCAATAATTGGGCTTCTTATCACCACACGTTTTTGCTATCCTCAGGATAGTGTTCTTGGATGAAGCACGAGTTGGACGACTGATATACGCCTAACTCCACAGAAGCAAGTGAATTGATAAACTCACATAGATCGGGTCAACTGTAGGATCTTGTCCTTCAGGTTGCTGAATAGCAATGGTCGACCAGAGAATGCTCTAATCATTCACACATTTCTCTTCCTTTTTGTAGGCTTCAGTTGAAACAAAATTTATATCCAGTCTTTCAACTTGGCATATCGCCAGAATATGCAGATACACGACATAGTGATTTTGAGCATTTATTCTTCTCTGCGTTAAGTCATCAACTCATGGTAAATTTGATTTAATTTTAAACCTTGCTTTTATTGTTGTTTCCGTAGTTTTGTTAGTATCATGTTGAGTGGGAATGCAACGGTCTTATTTTAATTTATCTTTTTTAACTAATGAAGTCGTATACTACTGTTTAACATTTTAAGTAGGCAAAATCATGGCCAATAAAAAACATTTGTTCATCTTCAGAGAATTACAATTTCATTTCTTAGTTTGTTGCTTTGCATTGCAGAAGTGTGTAATAAGTAAACAAGGATTTGTGATAAGCTTTAAGTAGTGAAAGGGTTAACTCACAACGTTATTTAAATAGAATTTCTTCACCTATCGAATTGACACTCCGATAACATTTGGTCATGTATTCATTGTATTACGAATTAAAAGAAATCTATAAATCTTGTATAACATTAGACCACAAATCCATGGATGGTTTTGGGATTGCTGTTAATAATACTTCAAAATCCTAAGCTTTAGTGTTTATATAGCCAAGTATGCTCCGAAATACTACAAAGGATATTTCAATTTCCCTAGTCTCTTATTAATTTTATTACCACTTAGTAACCTAATATGCTTTAAAATCACGTACCTCACTGCTTCTGTTCTAATAATATGTTGAATAAAAGACTGCCACCGAGGCAGAAGATGCCATAGGCAGCTTGTTCTTCTAAGTCGCTCCAGATTTCCATCTCAATCATGAAATCATCTATTTCTAATTCACTTCCGACTTTCCCGTTGGTTGACTGGACACCTATGGAACGTGAGCTGGTCATCAGTGTCCAAGTAGTCTAGTAGATACCGCTTTGGCACTTAAAAGAATGAGTACTAAATTAGAGCCTCATTGGGGAGTATACAGATACATTCAAATGACGAATCCTAAATAGGATGAAATGGACATCCTGCGTTACACTGGTAGTCAACATCAGCCATTAAATAGGCTATGAACAACACCTTAGAGCGAACTGCTGCCTACTATGCACATTCTTTGGTGGAATGCCGGATATCAATCACTCCAAGACCAAAGGTGACACAAATTGACTAAAATGCCAAATGAACATTTTATACTCCTGTCAGCAACCAGTCTGACTGACGCTTATAGAACTTTCTAAATAAGTGAATTATTGGGAACATCCATCCAATTCACACTCTCTATTCTTAGACTAGGAGTGAGCAGCTCACTAGTAGGGTATGAATAATGTTCATTGACCAATAGGTGAATTACTTGCCAATCTGAATCAATTCGATATATAAATGCGAGTAGTTTATGATTTATTTGCCCAGTGAATGAGCGGCTAGAGCCTGGGAAATAGTGCAGAACATATTGAAATTCACATATGAGAAAAAAATTACTTGTATTTTTTCAAACACAATTACAAAAGTTGTCTGTATACGGAGTTGTTACATTTATCAAGATTAAAATGTGTGGTATCCTTTTTCTCTTCTCTTTCAATTTTTCTGTAATTGATGCTCTGTCCACTGTATTTCTGTATTAGTTTTTTTTCCAACTGGATCTCTTCGATGAGATCGTTCTATGAATAAACTTTTTCACCTCAATGGTATTCAGAACTTTTCAGTTTGGAAGACATTTTTGTTATCGGGTGGGGTTGGAGGTAATCTTCTGTACCCAAGATCCAGGCTTATATTGGCACTAGTCACCAACGTCTATCTTCAATCTTACAGAAACTGGCGTCCCCTCGGTCGATGATTCGAATTTATGTCAGAGATATTGCTACTGATTTGTCCTTTTTACACTATGCTAGTCATCTGAGGGAAACACCTCACTGCTGTTACATCCTTGTTCTACAGTAGTACGACTTGGCCCAGAATAGTGTAAAAGAAAAATTCTCACAGTATGCCGGTAACTGCTTTTAGTCTAATCGCTATCCTAACAACCTTCCCGGCATGGTAGGACCTGCCGGAATAATATTTCCAGCCAGTGTAGCTTGTTGGGTCATTGTGATGTGCAGGCCCGATCACCACGTCAAGGTAGCAGCTACCGGTCGGGGTTTAGTTGATAAATTAATGAATGATATCGAGAGGAGCCAGGGTTATTCACTATTCACATTAGTATAATGGTATGAAAACGGTAAAGAAAGCGGAGTAATCATAGTCATTATACGGGCACAAATAGCTTTCATCACGATAACTCCGGGTTATGTTTTTCTCTCTTCGTGCTAGTGTGTTTCAGTCAAGTTTTCAGTAATCACAGAAATACGTGTTTATTTGTCACTTCTTTCAAAGGTAGATCCAGACGTAAAAACATATCTGTAGGATAGTGTCGAGATCTGATGACTGCAACGTCCGTAAAGTTTAAAATCTATGCTTATTCACTGGCAAACATTGTCTATGAATGAATTTCAGTTAGTTGTCAAAGTACTATTCTTCTCTGATTTCCTATACAGTTATTATGTAAGTATTTTCACCTTAATGTTTTTGTAAACTCGATGGACAAACAATGCACAATATTTTGGCCTGGTTGATTTAGTTGCGCAGCTTCCGTTGTCCCTTCCCGCCACCCTCTGCCGCCTATCTAGACAACATCTTCAGCAGAAGTTTTAGTGTGAAATGAACTTGTATGAATTCTCCGTGTGCCATGCCTATATCAAATGGTCTTAATATTCTAGCTGTAATTTCAAACCAGTTAGTGAATATTTCTTTTCTATTCCCTTGGATAAAAATGATCTATAGATGTGTAAATTAACAATTAATCACGACCAGTGGTTGTCAGGAAATACTATTATATCTTCCTTCATAGAAAATGCATACAAGTTCATTTGACAATAAAACTTGCGCTCAAGATGTTGTCTAGATGGTGGGGCGGACGGGTGGGGGGGGGGTGGGGGTGGGGTGGACAACGAAAGCTTCGCAATTAAATCAAGCAGCTCAGAGAACACAACCAAAATCATCAATCTGAGCTACAATGAGCAGTATCCTGATTTCATTTAACTTCTCAGTTTAAACAGAAATTTTCGTTTGAAATTCCCAAATTTTATATATCTACCGTATTTGCTCAAATAATATGTATTATATACATATATATTTGCATTATTCGTTTATTAACATATAGGGTGTATGCTTAGAAAGTGACAGACTGCTAAATGTGCCTGACGTAATAAAGCTGGCGCACTTGCACAATCTAGTCGTGCTTGCCTGGGGTGAAGCTGTGAACAATCCTGAGAAACGTGCACAATTAATACAGTTGGGCGTTGATGGGATTATTTATGACTGGTAAGATTATTTCACAAAGTCTATTGTTTTGTTTTTCTTAAAAAAAAAAAACAAAGTTAATTTGACTTTCGCTTTCATTTGACTGCAACACTATTATTCATACTGGTCGAGTAGATTTGGCGTTCAATTCTCAATGAGAATACGACAATAACTTACTGCATGGAAAACAATTACATCCCAACAGAAAAGTATTCATCTTCGAATAAGCTCGCTTTACGTACATTTGGTTCCTTTGATAGATTTCGATAGAGAAAGAAAGACAAGATGTACCATTGTATTTCACAGGTTCTCATCAGCTGCTAACACTGCAGTATAAAATGTCGTTGTAATTTCAGGTTGTTTGCAGCTGAATAGAATGATATCATTTAAGCTCGCTGTTTCTACTTTCATCGGTGGCCTCCATTAAGCTACATTAATATAGAATAGAATAGTTTCATCCACTTGGTTGGTTCGCTTGAGATAAATTTTGATGAAGAAGGACGGATTAGATTGGCAGTAAAAAATGATATCGTCATTCTATTTCACAAATTCTCATTAACTGAAAACTGCCTGAAATTACGATGATAATGAAAGAATGAATGGTTGTAGAGAGAATGTCATAAAATTGCCGCATCCTAAATGTTGGTTTTGTAGGGATTTTGTTTGATTGGATGGATGAGTTCATCATGAGCTGACATCAGTTAGGGAACCACTGGACAAGTTGGGAGTACTGGACAACTGTTTCGTCCTAGTTTGGGACTCCGCCTCAGCAATATGCATCACTGGGGTTCGAACCCAGGAACTTCTGGTCACAAGGCGAGCTAGCTCGTAGACCATTGAGCCACTGGGACCCGATCCAATGGCCAGCCCATGAATTCTATTATTATTATTATTATTGTTCCCTTGGGTTCCTAGTGGAACATAGGGCTTCAACTGCACGTCTCCACTTGCTTCTGTCTTCTGCTGTTCTTTTCACTTGCGTCCATGTTATTCCATACTGTTTCATCTCCTCCTCACACGATCTCCTCCATGTCACCCTTGGACGTCCCACTCGCCGCTTCCCTTTCGGGTTCCACTCGAGCTATGGCCTGACGCGCGATGTCACTCAACGGCCTCCTCAGCGAGTGTCCAATCCATCTCCACTTCCTCCTGCATATTTGTTGGGCGATTGGTTCCTGTTTCGTTTGTTCCCATAGCTTCTTGTTTGTGATTCTTTCAGGCCATCTTATCTTCAGTATGGAGCGAAGACAGTTGTTGATAAAGGTCTGCAACAGGCTGTTGGAAATATTCTTGGTGACCCGCCAAGTTTCTGATCCATATAGAAGAATTGACTTCACGTTTGTATTGAAAATCCGTATTTTGTTGTTGATGCTGAGTGACGAAGATTTCCAGATTGGTTTCAGGTTGATGAATGTGTTTCTCGCCTTACCGATTCTCGATTTGACATCCTCGTCCGTTCCTCCTGTGGTTGAGACAATGCTCCCTAGATAAGTGAATGAAGTAACCTCTTTCAAATCCCTCCCGTTGATGGTGATTGGCACTGGATGTTGCTGCTGCTGTTGTTGTTGGTTGGTTATTTTCATGACCTCCGTCTTGTCTATGTTCACCTGCAGTCCTGCCTTTGCTGCTTCTTCGACCAGTTTGTCGGTTTTCACTTGTAAGTCTTCGACTTTGTGTGACATCAAACATAAATCATCCGCAAAATTCATGACATAGCGTAACTATTTCGCAATGTCTTCTTCTATGAGTTACTGTCTCATCTTCAACCTGCTGTACCCTATTGCTCACGGCTTCCCACTAGAATCCCAGATCACTGCCTGAATAGGGCCGGTCGCTAGTGAGCATCAGATCAAGTTAGAATTCATGGGTTCGAACCCTGGTGAGTGTATACTGTAAAGAGTCCCAAACTAGGACGAAACAGTTGTCCAGTACTCCCACGTTTTCCAGTGGTTCTCTAGTTAATGTCAGCTCATGATGAAAATCCTGTAACCAATTACTTTTAAATTATTGTATATATCATTGTTGCCTTGGTTTCCGAGTGGAACATACCGATTCAACAGCACACAGTCACACTGTCCTCTATTCTCTGTGGTCCTCTTAACCTGGCTCCACGATTGCTCATAGGCTCCCATCTCCCGCTCATACTATCTCCGCTATGTTATCCTCGGCCATAGTCCCAACTCGACATTTCCTATTCGCGTTCCATTCCAGCGATGGCCTGACGCGTCATGTCATTCCACCGTCTCCTTAGTGTGTGTGTGTGTCCAATCGACACCTCTATTTTCTCCGACACAGTGTCATCTAATAATAAGCCGAAAATATGGCTTCCCAGTGTTACTTTACTTTACTTGAATTCCAAAGGTTCTGTGTTTGACACACCAGTTTGGTCATACACACTGGAAAGAAAATAGTTATTTTGTACACTTGTTGTCATCTTGTCAACTTTGGAAAGACTTTAGTAGTCTGAATAGCTTATTTGTTGGACATCTTGTCATTCACTTCTTAAAACAAACAGTTCTACCTTATCACTATCATCATATGCTTTATAAGTGTGAAAATCAGTAATCAGAGTAAAATACAATAACTACTATTATAGTAGTTATACAATACTGGAAACTAAAATATGCCAGTAGGCAAAATGGCCGAAACAGAACAATAGAATAAATTCAAGATGTCTTCAATTTAACGTCTGTCGGAAGAATTCACTCCCACGAAATATACACACTAAACAGTGTAGTAAAAATCTCTAATGTGTGTGTGTGTGTGTGCGTATATATATGTGTATATATATATATGTGTGTGTGTGTGTGTGTGTAAGTGTGCTAGTGTGTACTTCTACTACAATTTATTTATACGTACAATAAATATCTGTACTGCAAGGTCTGGCTTAATAAAAACTAACGAAAAATGAATGTATCAACACTACTTCAATAGTCTATACCAGAACGAGATAGATTAACTCGGGGTCAGGCGATGAAGGTGATTTTCTCACCTTTAAATAATCGTTTCTCATATCTAGTTCAATCTTTGAAAAATTAGTCATACTCCGTTGACGACTCACTTTCTAATATCGCATACGTTATCATGTGATGCTAATACTTGAAGATATAGACAGTGTACTATTATCTTCATTGTTTATACTGTAATGTGTTACCATAACAAATTTTATGTTTATTAATGTGTGTGTGTGTGTCGATCGTATTTATTCTAGTGGCATTGTTTCTCCCAATGTGACTATGACTAGATGTACATTTATCAGTGCTCGATGGTCTCAGTTTGTTTCAAGATTATAAAAATTGAGTGGATTGTGTGTTAACTATTTTAATAGTATACATATGTATATATATGGGCTTCTGATCTGACTGACGGAATGAAAGTCTGAATTTCAGTTATCCTAATAATATAAGATTACTACTATACTGCGTGTAGTTCTTGTTTTATTCTGAACGTCAGTCCGAGTTAGTACTGATTTAGCGAAACAAAATACCTCTTAGTTAGATTATAACAACAGCCCAGGTTAGTAACATACTTGCCCTGTTGAATAGAAAAAATCAATACGTACTAAGATAATTTAACACATTATACTCTATGATTTTAGGCTATGACTAGACTAGTACAGAATTCCAATCCCAGTAGGAACACTGTCCTACTGAAATATAGACAAACCATAAATCACAATTTCAGTGAATACAGCAAGAAGCCAAATAAATTGTTCTGTTTCGGTAAAGAAAGCATTCATTATAATGCTTAGTATTCAGGGTGCAGGATTTCATCATGAGCTGACATCATTTAGAGAACCACTGGAAAACGTAGGAGTACTGGACAGCTGTTTCGTCCTAGTTCAGGACTCTTCTCTAGTACGTACCCACCGAGTTTCGAACTCATGAATTCTAACTTGATCTGATGCTCACTAATATCAGCTCATGATGAAAATCCTGTAACCAATCAAATCTCTACAAACGAACACTTAAAAGTAGTTGGTTCGTATACATAATCGGCCGGTAGCCTTAAAGCTATGGAAACATAAGTGCATACTGCTGAAGAGTCGAAGACGAGGGTGAAATATATGTCCAACATACTTTGATAGTCGTCTACTCGACGTTGTTTCGTGGAATAGCCTACAAAATAAACGTTTGAATTGACTTAATATGTCTTTGCTCACCAAATAAGCCCTCGGAGTTCATTGCTTTCCTCGCTTTCAAGTGTCATATTGATCATAGGGTATTTTTGTATTCTGTACTACCATAATTTTATGATATATATACTAAAACTGGAACAATACGGGAAAAATTAACACGACACCGCGCAAAGAAGGCATGCAATATCATAAAGCACTGCGTGTTTCAGACACATATGATCGAGGTTCGATTCCTGGCCGAAGCACTCCTAATCATCGCCTATCCAGTAGTCAGCCCGGTAGAGAGCAAAAGGTTGGGAGTGAGACTATCGCCACCTCGTACAGTAAAAACAACACCAAAGTGATTGAAACTTTAAGGGTCAAGTGTGAATCCCTTTGTTCCACTCGGAATGCAGGTAGGTGAGGAGAGATTCTCAAGTAGAAAGACAGTATAGCCCAGTAATATGCATATCACACATAGTCCCCACCAGAGTTTTCACATTTTATCCCAAAGAAACAATAATGTGGTTGTCATAATAATAAATAACAATAATGTCTGCCTTACGTTTTAGTAAAACGAGACACTGTCTAATTCAATTTCTTTCTTTTTTTTCTCTCTTTTTTTATATAGTTTACATGAAAATAAAGCTAAAGGTACTTTAAGTATTTTTAAACGTGAACGATGCATTGAAACCTCATCATGCACACTAGATGAATATGACAATAAAGTAAGTGATTCGTCATCACAACAACAAACTCTTCCAAATCAATCAAGTTGTTATACTGACAAGTCTACATTATTCACCATAGCTAAACACGACGACAGTAATAATATTAATAATGAAGGAGTTGAATTACATCAGAAGATGGATATATCAGCTGGAGTTGATTATTGTTATTATCCTAGTAATTCAATTAATAAGCATAATAGTGATGATGGTGGAGCAAAGAATCCTGATAATGATGATAAGGCAGTGCTACTACAGAATACAATAAAATCAATATCTGGTAATGGGAAACAGTTGACCAATTCAGTTGTTAATGTGATTAATTGTGATAATGAAATTGGTGAGAATACGTCATCTTTATCATCATCGTCGTCGTCGTCAACCGCAACATTTGAAGGTCAACAACCACCGCCACCTCCAGAACAACAACAGCAACAGCAACAACAACCGAAACAACAAAAGGAACAACATTCTATGCCACTTATAACAATTGCTTAGATTGAATTCAATGGAATCAATGCTATTTTTGTTTGTTTGAGTGGATTCCTGAATAGATCTTAGTTTTGTACATAGATATATCTTTGTGTGTGTGTGTGTGTTTACTTATTCTGTTGCCTTTGTTAAACACATTTGGCCGTTGAACATTGACTTCTTAATAAATTCATCGGTTAGCTCTGTGGATTCATCGCAATCTGATCACACACACATACACACACACAGGTGTCTTGTTCACCTGCTCACTTGACTGATTACAGAGTAATCGGCATAACTACTCCATTTAATATACTTGAGCGAATTACTATTGAATTACTATTATTTTATCTCCGTCATTTTTGTTCTGTTTCGTTGCACTAAAATCTCCTTGTTGTTCCTCTTGACATATGTGCACCAAGTAAATTTCTTAATAAATGAATACTACTGGTGTGTAATTCCGAGAAATGTACTCACATCTCGTGAAAAATTGTTATATTCTGTTCTGTTCTGTTCTGCTTTTTCCTCCTAATTTTATCGAAAAGCGACAACAGTAACAAGAACAACAACAACAACAACCCATTTCAATTAATAATTACCCCAAATAATTTCTTACATTTTCTTAATCTTAATCTCTCCAGTTTGCTAGTTCCCTTGTTCCGCTTTTCTCTGTACACCACTTTCGGTTGACTCTTTGAATTCCATGTCATTTCACACACAAGTGTTAGTGTGTCTGTGTGTGTGTGTGGGTGGGTGCTTCTCCAAATTCATGCATAGAACTTAAACCATCAAACTGTCTTGAGCGTTATATACATGCATACATCACTATTTTTGGAATCCAAGTTTAAACTTATTTTATCTGTTTGCATACACATTGATAGTTGAAAGCAAAGGCGGTTGGGGATAGGTGGCGAAATTAACTAACATGTAACCACATGTAAATTTCATTGTTTCTGTTTCTTTTCTCCTAGTTTTTCCTCCATTGGCTTACACAATATTCACTTTCATTTTGTACTCAAAATTTGATGAGTTTCATCGATTGTTGTTTTATTTTTCTATTAAGTAGCACTTGTAACGCCAAAAGTGACCGAATAGTAATAAAATATTCTCTAATGACACTATCATTATCACTACTATAAATACATCAATATTTCCATGTGGTTGCGTTCTCTGTATTCGCCTGAGACTCCTGTCTTCTCTGCCCCTCTTGTCAACTTGTTCGATTTCATTCATACTTTTTCGAATGTGTGTGTGTGTGTGGAAAATATGGCGTGAGTCAGTTGCAAAATCTGTGCCTCCCAAGGTGTTCTTCTCTTGATATCTCGAAACATCATCCCGACTGAGTCATTTCTCCGAAGCAGACTTTTGCAAACCTGTACATGACCCAAGTGGTTACATTTAATAAGCGACACTCAAACATTATATTGCAGTTGTTACTATGATTTTTATTATTCCCTTGGGATCCGAGTGAAACATAAAGCTTTAACTGCACATCTCCATCTTCATCAGGCTATTGGAAATGATTTTCGTGATGTGCTAAGTCTCCGTGCTGTCCGTAGTTGAAGCAATGCTGCCTAAGTAAGTGGCAGAAGTTAGCTCGTTTAAATTTCTTCCGTCGATAGTGGTTGGTGCTTGTTATTGTTGTTGGTTGGTTGTCTTCATCACCTCCGCCTTCGCTATGTTTACTTGAAGTTATGTCTTCCCTTCCAGCCTCCTCTGCCAACTTGTCGGTTTTCCCCTGTAAATAATCGAACTTGTGTGACGTTAGACATAAATCGTCCACCAAATCCACATCTTCTAGAGTCTCGCTGCTCACAGTCTCCCACATATTCCAGTTCACCAAAATTAGGAATATCATCGGTGAAAGTAGCCAGCATTGTCTTCCTCCTCTCTTCACTTCATACGCTCAATTTGCGGATCACCTGAGGTGTGCGCTACTATGTGGCTATTGGATGAGGGCGATAAACAGAGGATTTGGGCACTCTGCATTATTGAACTAGTTTCCAAACTGCTTTGCAATCGACGCGGTCGAAGGCATTTCCAAAGTCGGTGGGGTTGGGATAGAGATTTGACTTCCATTTTAAGCTCCGTTCTATGGTGATGTGTAGAGTTTGAATTTGATCTGCGTATGATTCGCCTTTACTGAATCCAGCTTGTCCGGGGGCGAAGTTTTGTATGCAGAGCATCTTTCAGTCTCTCCAGGATAACGCGACGTAATAATCGCTTGGCGCGTATAGGAACATAATTCCACACTAGTTGTTGCATAGTCCCATGTCACCCTTCTTTGGTAACCTGACAATGTAGCCTTTCTTCCAATCAGTAGGAACCTTTCCTTCCAAACTTGCTGTAATAATGGCGTGAGGATGGTGACTGAGGTCTCTGGGTCCATTTTCAGTGCTTCCGGGGTAATTCCGTGTGGTTCTGCCGCTTTTCCCGCCACCTTCTAGTAATTTTATGACACTGGAATCGTCTGCTTTTGTTGAGAGATTGGTGTTTACTGACATTTCTGTGGTTGTGTGTCGTATTTCTCTACGAGTTATAGGTGATGTTGGGCTTAACAGTCGTTTGAAATGATCAGTCTGTTGTTTAATTTGCATCTACTCTTTGGTGATTAGGTGTCTTCGCTGACTTTAATTGGTTTCATCTGTGCTTGTCTTGCCTGTTGTCTTTTTCCAAAATAGCTGGCTGTACTAGTTGCCTTCAACATTCCTTTCAGAGACTTCCAAGGTGTCTTGACACAGGTCCGCTCCATATCTCTATGTAATGTCTCCGACTTCTATCTGATCCCTGTGGTGTTGTCGTTTGTAGTTTTTCCTGTCAGTTTTTGGGTTACCTATCTTTAATCGCCGTGTAGTCTTTCAGCTTTACTCTGAAGGTGCTTCGTACTAGATAATGGTTTTAGCTCATATATACACCCATTCTCTATTTTGTGTTTTGCGGACTGTCCCCCCTTTCTCAGGATTGAAATGAAGACTATCTGGTTCCGGATGTGTCCGTCAGGTGAAGTCCATGTCGATTAGTGTATATCCCTGTGCTTATGCACGCCACCTCCATTAGATGGCACAGAAATATGCAAAGAGTTCTACGTTCTTATCCTTTTCGCCAAGAACCTTTTCACCTATTATCGGTTCTCTTCTTATGTTCTTTGCTCAGAAGCTGTCAGTTCAAGTCTTTTCGACATCTCAACCAGATAAGTAAGCATGAAAGTATTTCAAATTCTATTAGTGAGTTCAATTTATTATCCAATATCTGGCCTTGTATTGTTTTGATTGCACACTAGTCAGTAACTAGTGTAATGTATCTAATCTTACTTATCTTGGCTGCAGACTGAATTCTATCAGTCAAGCTTGCAATGTGGCCACCATGCTAGGTGTCTCGCCAAAATATCCAATTCAGTCCTACAGGAGGTCAATCGCGAGCCTGAATAGCTAAATGGTAACGTCTCTGACTTCAGCACTGGGTGACGCGGGTTCGAATCTCAGAAGGGACATCAGTTCCTTCAAGGTTGCAGACACGCCTTGTTGATGAGTGCCAACTAGCACGAAACCTAGGTCCGAGGCTTCCTGCCGATTGCCTCCAACCATCTAATGCCAACAGTCTGGCCTTGTAATTGATTCACAGTTCAATCGTTACAAAGGCGTTTTTGTATTGAATATATACCATGTTCGATGATGCTGCGAAAGTTCGATTATTTTAACGAAAACTTGGTTCTGTCGAGCACAACAAATATTTTAGTTTTATTCTGCCAAAGAATTCACGTGAACTGTCTCATTCGATGACACAGTCACCATTTTATCTCAGAAGTGTTTGGTGAACAATCATCCATGTTCAGAATTGAGTGTACTAATGTCTTCAGTTACCAGAAGTATATTCCGACGATTATGTCACTTATCCTAGCAAAGTGAACATGCAATGTGAAAAATACAAATCACACGAGATGACATCAGACCAGTTCAAGTGCTTGTTTTTTTATTTGTGGTTTGAAGAGCCTTAAAGATGCTGACATTCTAACTCGACTCCTGTCGTCTACTTTATTCCAAAAACAGTACTTATAATACACAGAATGGAATTCTGAGCATTTGTCACAATATTGCATCTGATTTACTCAGAAAATGTAATTAAAAATTAAAACAAAATTAACCAGAGGAATTTGTCCACATTTACGATATAAACTCAAAAATATTCGGGGTACGAATTGCGAATATTAAATATAATAATAATAACAGTGAGTTTGTTCCAAACAGTATTGGCGATTCAGTTTGAAAATTTTAGCATGTTATAGATTATTGAATCTAATGTTCTGTTGATATAGTGTAGTGAGGGGAAAGGCAAAATTAACAGTCATAACACAGCTTAAATGATGTTTACACTTTTGAGAAAATAAACAAATAAAAACAAAAAACTGCGAGGATTATATATAAGAGGTACAATAACAATAAAGGTTGATGTTATAAGGGTGGAGAATATGGTTGATTTACTAGTACGAAGAAGGTTAGTTAGTTCATGCCTAGCAATATTTTCATCACATAAAGTCCGTGCCAAATATGGTATAGTGGAATTTTTATACTTAGACGTACGTGCATAAATTCTTCTGAAAAGACTTCTTGTTTTACCTGAGGAGGAGACACAAGGTTGGAGCTGCGGGTAGAGTGGGTGCTCAGAGTCTGACTGAATTCATTTAGCAAATTTGTTGCATCAAATCAAGTGCCTATCAATGACGATGTCAACGATATGGCCCAATGGGATACCACTCGCCCTACTGACAGTCTTCAGAGTTCTACGAAGTATAACATAGTCCCTTTTAAGCAATCCAGGAAAGAACAAGCAGAAGTGAACAGTAGAGAAGAATAGGTAAGATGCATGAGTTGACAAACTGTAAGAGGATCCGAAAATGACTTTACAGATGGTGACCGGAGAATGCCAACGTTTAATCGAATTGAAGCATGACACTACTATGGTATGGTGGGGCACAAATCACAGCCGTCTGAATTTGGCCCAGTTAACGCAGTCAAGACTTCGGCCACCGTTAAGCACGCAGGACGTCAGTCTGAAAATTCCACTAAGCCTCCATAAGTGTGCTGATACTACTGTTCATGACATTTTGTCAGATTTTGTCTATTCAAGAAACATAAATGCTGCAAGTGTCACCGTTTTTGGCATAAACAGGGTTACTGTTCAACAGAGAAAAACCCTTCTATTAAGAAAAACATAACAATAAAAGATTTTGCATATCCTAATGAATGAAAAACAAAAACTGTTTATACTTCATTGTTTTTCATTCATTGGGAAATACAAAATCTTTGATAATAATGAATATCATACAGCCAATACCCCAATTTGTCCTAATTGTTAAAAGTGAACTTGGTTTGGACAATTTTTTTAAAAATTTCTTTATGTTCCCAGTCGAACAAAGAGCTTCAGGCTACAGGCTTGAAGTTTCGGTAGCAGTGATGTTTACTTTTACAGGATGGGGTTGCTAACACGATTCCCAACCTTCCCTCTTTACCAGTTTTACTACTGGCTTGACGAGGTAAAGGAGTGTGCTGAATGGTCTTGATGCTTCACCCGGAGATTTCAGCTAAACAAATCAACTAAAAGAGTGAGGGTCAGCATTCAATGATCAGTGATGAGTAGTGTGGCCAGTGATTCTGGGGAATTGCTTGCTGCTACGAGTCTGTCTATTTCTTAGCGTTGAACTCGAATTATAGTCTTTTTTTTCGTTTGATTTTGAAGGCTTTCAGCCTCACCTAGAAGGTTCTTCCCTTAACTGTCCGTTTGTATATGTTTACCAAATCTACATAGGTTATCTCGATTATAGTGGCGTTATAATAAACAATTTTATTATTATGTTCCTTTGCGAACACAGTGGATGACTAACGGGTGAAGGGATCAACTCCATCCCCAGCAAAAACGTGGTTTCAACACACCGCATACTGCGACCCGCATAAAGTCAACCGAAGCTACGTTATTCAAGGGTAGGACATACTAATCAGGAAGTTACCATAGACTGAGAACCCAAACTGTAAAATCAAGAAGCCAGTGAGAAGAAATCCACTTGATTTACACAGAAATTATATTGGACATTGTACGGAGCGAAACACTATAAATATTATTGCAACGGTCAAATTTTCATAGTGTTTCCGTGGTATAGCAGTGTCAATTGCCGACATGGAAAGTCGTAGACCTGTTAGAGTATTTGTTACTAACATCCCTGCACATTGGAGAATATTCGCATTTTTGACTTTGCTTTCGGCAGGTAGACACGGAGAACCAGTAAGTCCTCATTTAATTAAAATTACCTTGAAAAATGAAAGGATATTTGTGGAATTTTTCGGTAGGAACAGCAGATTAACTCCCAATGGTTTAAAATTATTAATGTTGACCGTTATTAAGTGTGTAGGTGTACTGTCCTGAGTGGCAGAATCCGACAATATTCTCAAATATGAAAATATTCTCATATCTGTAATTGTCAGAATTTGTGAAGATAACAGTTAGCAATCTTATTGCAGAATTGTGTTAAATTATGCATTATTTGTGACGGAGTAGCCACACATTTATGAGAGATTAGTCAGTTGTGTGTCATCCAGGTAGTTATAGAACATCAGAAATATTTTTGAAGTGGACGTGAATATAATTTTAGCTAACTGGCGACTTACATTTCGAAAATGGTGGGAGTACTCAGCTATACCACCTGATCACATATTACTCTGCTGAAAATTACACTTAGTATGAAACAGAAATAAACGAGGTTAGTAAACCGCGAAAAATCACTGTTTAACGTGTTCGAACTTTCGTCTTAGGTATTCAGTAGATCTTGAATTTTAGATGCTTTGATCAAAAAAATGAAACAGTCAGCTTTCAGGTTTTGGAGAAGTATTCTAGCTTTTGCGGAGGTATTGGTTTACTGAGTCGCATTGATTATAGTCCTTACAGACTTCAGATTGAAGTGTCTGATATATTTTCATTTGCGTTAGAATACGCAATTCGGTTGTGGAGACTTTCATGACTGCCTAAAGTTTATGTAAAAACGCTCAATTGTCGCAGATAATGGTGTACGGGAAATCGCAAAACGGGTTCCGTAGAATTCACCTGCCTAGATGTCTAATTCTCAATTTTTACGTGGTGTCGTATGTATGTAAATTGTAGCGAAAACATTTCCCTTTACTCCCCATCACAGAATTTCGAGGGGTGGTTTGATTAAATATTTTTACTTTCTTTTATAGGTTGTCGTCAAATCCCGGGATGGGAGATTTTATGTAGGTCACGTCGAAGCTTTCGATCGACGTATAAACATTATGTTGATAAATGTTTCTATGATTTGGTTGGACAGAAGCACGGGTGAATTCGTTGTCCGAAACATCCCTCTGACGAGAGCCACACTGAGAGGAAATTCAGTAACTGCAGTTATGGAAAATCCATCTCGGTTGGAAGTGGAATTGATGGTGCGACTATAAATTTTTATATACTGCTTTATTTTTCTATATTGAAATCTTGTGAAATGAATATTTGCCTTACGTGAAATACCTTTTCATGAATTCGCATAACCTCAGGGTCGAGGGTGGGAAGATGGATATTAGCGCAACTGAACCACAACGATATCCTTAACAGACGAATTCGGTGA